TGATTCCATCTGCCAATTGGTAATTTACATTGTGTTGTCAAAGGTATGCTTCCACTGTAGAAAGCCAGGACATGGTGTTGCAGATTGCCCAGCTGCACTTGACAGCCAAGATATGGGAACTGGAATTTGTTATCGTTGTGGATCTACAGAGCATGAAATCAAGAAATGCAAAGCAAAAATAGATCCTGCTCTTGGTATGTACAATAACTACAACTTTGTACAGTGGGCCTGGAAAAAGTGCCTTCCTTTTTAAAAATATACACTAAACAGTTCTCAAAATGTATGAGTGACTTGACCTTTGAAATTATAGTGGTATGAATTTATTTGTGTGGTTGTATGCAGCATTACATGTAAACTTTTGAACTCTTACAGGAGAATTTCCATATGCAAAATGCTTTATTTGTGGTGAGATGGGACATCTTTCCAGATCATGTCCAGATAATCCTAAAGGACTCTATGCTGAAGGTGAGAACAGCTGTTATTTGAAAATCACACTTTTTCACAATGGAGGTGGATTGGAAACTTTAAGACAACTTCTTTGGCATTGAGAAGACAATGAAAAGAGTGAGCATTAGAAAGGGGTATTTTGTGTGCTTCTGACCACATTAAGAAATTCTGCCTCTTCATCTGCAGATCAACAGATTTTTTTCCATATTCACTAGTATCTTAGCACTGGTTGCTATAGAAACAGTTCCTGAAATTCCAAAGGGATTGCCTCAAAGCCTTCAAATAACAAAAATATGTATTTTTAAGAATGTACAGTGGGGGACAGAGCCGTATTCTCTCTGTCCCCCATTACTATTTTCCCCAAATCCTCACAAGAGGATTTTAAAAGCCTATCCTGTGTTGGGGGCTGCTCTTTAGGAAATTTTTAAGAAAGTCCCATCTGTGTACTTCCATTGGAGACTTCTGGGAATGCTTTGGTGCAGAATGGCTGTGAAAGTTTTGACAGCTTATTTTAATTGATAAAAAGGCTGACTAAGCAAATATTCATAGAATGTATGTGCAGCAGCTAACATTTCTGTTTTTAAAGATTTTCAAGAACAAAATGGCAGCTGAAAGTGGGCAGTTCAGAGGACAGAGAAGCTCTGCTGAACGTAGCTTTTCCGTGTTGTAGTAACTACCTGAGGTGGCCGAAGAAGGCATTCTATAAATGTACATGTAATCTTATGTCAACTTTTTTCCTGCAAAAAGTTTTATGATCCTTCGAGGCATACATAGTTCTGTTTTCAGCAGTAACGTGAGGTAAATTAGGTTGCTAAAATCACTGAGCTTTATGCCTAATTAGGATTTGAACCATAACCTTCTCAAGAATAGTCTGACTCTTTAGTTAGTACACCATGCTAGTTTAAATGTAGTTAAAAATCTGTGCAAAAGCCATGAATGTTGAGTTTTATTTTCTAGTTTACATTCATTATAAACTATGCCAGTTGATGTTAAGTATGCATAGATTTTATTAATATATTATAGTGAAATATTTTTTCTGTGTTAATCTCTTACAGGAGGTTCTTGCAGGGTTTGTGGATCCGTGGAGCACTTTAAAAAAGATTGTCCAGAGAATCAAAATTCAGGTGGGGAAATGAGGAACTCTTTAAAATCATGACTTAGTTTCTTGAACATGAGCTATTCTGTATTTAGCTTATTCTGGAGAATATTGATTATAACTCAGCAGAACAATTACTGATTATTTCCCCTCCAATGGCATATTTACATGCTGCACAATAACATGTCTTTAAACAAACAAGTTGGTGGGCCTTCACACTTTTGCATATGCTGTTATGTGTTACAGCTGGAAATTGAAAGTGACACTGATGATCAGGTGTATACTGCTGTCCTTGACAATGAAGTGGGGAACTGGAATGTCAGTAGCATAATGATATTGTCTTGAAATGTACTAGTGGCTTGATATTGCCAGGATTTAAAGGTTTGATGACTACTGAATTAGTTGTATAATCGAGAGCAATGGTTCCCAAACTTTTTGAGGCCACTGCCCCCATGGTTAAATTAACTCGTCCCTAGTGCCCCCTACCCTATAAAAAGCATTATTCAGAACAGCAATTTGCATGACCAACTAAGGAAGATAATAACAATAAAATTAAAAACACTAACAATGAATTGCACATTTATTCAAAATCCAATTAAAACTTTTTAGTTTAATTTATTCACCAAATTGATGAACTTGATCCAGTCATACCAGTCGATAGCACAGGATGGTGATCAGAAATTTCCTTTCATAACCAAGACTCTTGGTATGATTTCGGCCTCAGCTCAGTGTTATTTTGTAGCTCAATTAGTTCTTCCTCCACTACCCCAACTTTCTCATTCTCTGAAAATGAGGGGAAAATTAGAGTAGTTCTGATCATCAGATGACTAATTGCACCATGTACATATAAATGTTTGGGTAGATTTTGGGTATATTTTAGGAAGATCAGTGTACAAAATTGCTATATATTTTAAAAGTTTTATCAAATTCATTCACCCATAGAATGTGTCTGAAAATACAAAAAGTTATCAGTGGATACCTGATAAGATGTTGAAATATTTGACAGAAGTAAATGGTATACATAGTAAAGAAATTTTATGATTGCAATAAGATGGCCTTTGTAGAATTTTTATAATGAAATCTATTGTGAAATTTTTTCCATCCACACATTATGGACATTTAAAACTGGAAGTATTTTACCAAGGATTAATACTATTACTTTTGGAAAAGTAAAAGGTCTGGAAAGACCAAAAAAATTAAGGAAAATAATGGCTTGTAGCTAAAAGAATAAAGAAGATTATTTTAATTTTGCCTCCTTTTAATATTTTTACTTTTTTTCTTTCATTTTATATTACCACAATTCTGAATAAAGACAAAATGTTATATTTTCTTCATAAAGATTTGGGGTTTTTATTTCTGCTGAAATTATACATAGATTTCCCCCCAACATTTATATTTATTTACCATAATTCTTCTCATTACCAGAATTATTTATACCCTAAATTTCCCCTCAGTTACCTACATTTTTGTTTAAAAATCCATTTCTTCCCATTTTGAAGTCCTTGAAAAATTTTTAAATCCTTATGTAACCCCGGTTTCTCCCACCAACCCCAGTTGAGGGAGTTGAGGCAAGAAATTATGGGACCTGGGTTTGTTAGTGGAAGTGGGGCAGAGTGACAAAAATAAAGTGGTGCTTTCAGCCCACTAGCCTCCACTTCATAACAGGAGTGTTCAGTAGGCAAAAAGAAGAAAAATTCAAACACAGCTCCCAGACCCTCCAGTCACCTATAGTAAAAGGTAAAGGCTTCCCTTGCTCGAAAGCCAGTCAAATCCAGCTCTAGGGTTGCGGTGCTTATCTTCTTTTCCAAGCCAAAGAGCCAGCACTGTCCAGAGACGTTTCCATGGTCATGTGGCCGGCATGACTAAACACCAAGGCACATGGAACGCTGTTACCTTCCCACTGAAGTAGCACCTATTTATCTACTTGCAATTTCTTGTGTTCGAACTGCTAGTGACAGTGACAGGAGCTCACTTCGTCATGCGGCACTCGGGTCTCAAACTGCTGAGCTACCGACCTTCCAGCCTGTAGTTCAGCAGTTCATACACAAATAGTACATAAAATATAAGTAGGTAGGGCTGCCAAGTGGGGGCGGGTAAACCCCCGCTTTGGAGGCCCGATTTCCACCGCCGCAGAATCGGGCCCCGAGGGGAACTCCGCCCCCAAAGTGCAGCATGGCTGTGTCACTGGAGGTGACGCAACTACGTCGACCACGTTGGGGGCGTGGCCCGGATCATCGGAGGGAAAACTCTATGGTTTTCCCTCCAACGATCCGGGCCACGCCCCCAACGTGGTCGACGTCGTGCGCCACTTCCGAGGACGGATCCCGGATCCCAACGAGGCTCCCCCGCCGGTGAGTTTTTTTGACTTGGCAACCCTACCCTAGATACTCGGGAGAGAAGCATGCAGCTGGGGTCAGCGCGT